GTATCTTTGAAATACTGTACATTATCAGGTTGAATTTTATTCATTCTGGATGGAGTTGTGGAATGTTTACCAACAGTATTTACATATACATATATTTGAAACTAATTTGTTGCCTGCAATTTAAGGCAAATTTCTACACTTATATTGAGATCCGGCTTATATCTGTTTATCAATCGGAGTAAATTCAACTTTTTCGCCTTGGAATTATTGGATTCCAATTCATACAATGTTGATAAATTCACTAGTAAACTTTCATTCAATGACTTTTGTGGATTTAAATTGATTGCACGTTCATACAAGTTAATTGCGTCTTTCAGTTTACCAGCGTACAGCAAGCATACGCCCATATTGTTTAATATCATCGTATTGCCGGAGTCCAAGTGTAGCGCCTTTTGAAATATTAGATAAGCCTCGGGAAAGTCATTTTTGGCCACAGCTATGAGACCCTTGTCGACCAGATCTCGCAGATCCGGCGACATATTACTGCAAAAGTCAAGTTTGAATATTATCAACGATAATTTCTATAAATAAATGCCACTCACATCTCACGTAGCCGTCGAGAGACAGCAAATTTTTGCTCCGCCCCAAAAATATCGCCGATTTGTAGATAAATGCGGCCCCAAGCTGAATATAAAGCGCGTTGCTCCTCTTTACTAAGCGTAGAGCGTGTTAACAGCATTCCACCCATAATGTCATCAATCATACTAAATTTCTTCATCTATAATATAGGGAAATTTTAAATTAAACTCTTTAAGGCTTCACTTTTTCTGACTCACCATTAGAGCGCAATTAATAATTGATTGCAGTACGCGTTCGGCTCTTCGCTGCCAAAATTCTGCTGCATTTATGTTCTTTAATCTGTCGTAATGCTCCTTGATTTCATTGCTTATGACATGCAGCTCAGACAGACGATCAAGCGCTAGATGAGGTTTGCCTAGATAAATGGGCAGCTCGGCCAAGAGCAGGCGGAACGAGAAGCATGCAATGGAGCCATGTTTACCCATGTACATCTCTGGATAATGCTCGTAAAAGACATCGGGTCCATTCAGTTGACCGAATGGTTCAGCCTCTGCCTGCAGTAGCTCGTATTCCCCCAGCTTGGCCAGCAATGCGAGGCGCGTAAACCACAATTGAAGCGAATGCGGCGAATGTTTTGCTGGCTGACCAGCACGACCATAGCCCTGGCCATAGATGGTGAGCAGTCTACCTGTTAGATTAACTGCCGCACGAAAGCAGCCAGCATTAATTAATGTACGTATTCCCCGCTCATCTTGCGTCACATCTTCAACTGCGAGAATTTTACGTTGCTGCAATTCAGCTTCTCCTAAATGTTGAGTTACGGCTATACAAATCGGATCGGGCTGCAATAAAATGGATAGATAGTTCGATATATTTGTTATATTTAAACATATTACTTACCAAATCGTTAGCTATGTGTATGCCTGGCATAATCAGATGTGCTGCCTGTTTGCCCGCCTCATTTTGTGTGGGCAGCTGCCACAGGTTTCTCACCTCATCGCTCACTTTTATAGGCTCTTCGGCTTCAGCTGTTTCTACGTATTCAGGAGGCTGAAAGCTGCCCGTAAATGTGCTGCCCAGCATATTGTTGCTGTTAGTTGGTTCAGCGGAGTTTGCTGGCTGCATATCCTTGGGCTTCGATTTATTGTTTGTCAGCTCATCAAAAAAGCTGGGCGGATCGTTGGCGAAATATTCGCTTAATCGTCCGTTTGAGTTATTTGTCATTCCGTGGTCGATACTTTTATTGTGTTTTTTCAGCACCTGCTACACAATCGAAAACCGATGACTGCCTAATCGATTTTTGCTCTATTTTAAACTGTTAATTTATATTGCACGGTCACACTGCACAAGTTTTGTTTTTCATTCAAACAAGAACTTCTGTCTATAATTTGTAGAATGTTTAATTTTCTAGTTCTGCTTATCGAGAATTCAAATCAAAATTACACAATTACACTAATTAATAATTTGAAATTATACTAAGCTATCGATACTTGTGGCCAATCGATAATAGCTTTTATTTTTATAGCACACTAAAAAGAAATCTAGTGCTGCCCAGCCCAATAAAAAGACGTTATAAATTTAAACATTGTTTTTTTTTCTATATTTATTTATTGCAATTGCATTATTATTATTGTACAGTAATATAAAGCAAATTAAAAACTAGAAACATAACGTCATTTGATGACCAAAAAATGTAACATTAAAACTGATGTATTTACAAAGCAGCGCCTGCGCATTTGCCACATTCTTCACTCTACTGTCCATTGAAAATGGATTCGGGATAATAGCTGGGGGCGTTGAACATGCGCGGAAAACCGTTCGCATCCAATTGACCCACAGGCAGCATTATATCACTGCAACGAGAAAAATACATATATATACATATATTTAAATGTGTGCATGTGAGTGTGTGTATGTGTTAGAGAGCGTATGGAATTTGACGCCTGTAAGTGATCAAACACAGCGGGGCATGCGGCAATTGAGGCACATGCTACACGCATGCGCATTCGAGTAACGGGCACCATTCAATGGGCAACGGGCAACGTTGGCGACCAGTGCCCGTCTATAAATAGGGTAAAAGGAGCTGCAAAATTGGACATAAAACACGCTCAAGTGCCCTTTCAGAAAAAAAACCGAAAAAAATGGCATCGGACCGTGGCGAACCGTAAGGGAACTCGAATTGGGACTTCGATGCGAAGGCAAGTGTTTTACGGTCACTTAAACGAATTTTTAAATGCCAATTTTTGAAAAACAATTGAATTGGTTTTCGAGAGCGAGTGCGAGAGAAACATGAATTGTTTTACGAGTTATGTGGAAAACATATTGTAATTAGTTTCTGGGCGACATAGAAAATATATATGTGTATGCATATAAATGAATATACTTACGATCTTTGCTGTGGTGTGCGATCCCTCTGCCGGCGATTCTTGAACCAATTGGAGACTTGGGTGAGCGTGAGGCCCGTTTTCTTGGCGAGCGTTTTCTTTTCGTCGGGCGTGGGATAGCGATTCGTTAGATAGCAATCCTTGAGAGCGTTGCGTGACTTCTCCTTGAAGCAATAGACCGTCTCCTCGCCATCCCAGATGGTCTTTGGCAGCGGATACTTTTTGCGCAATCGATATTTGTCCACGGCGCCGAGCGGACGGCCGCGCACCTTTTCCGCCTCCTTATAGTGCGCCTTGAACCACAGGTTCTGGAGATCCACATGGTACTTGATCGAAAAGCAGTGCGTCTCCAGCAGGCTGTACAGCTCGTGGAACTGGCCCAGGTTGTAGGCCACCATGGCGCGTGCCCGCAGCACGCTCTCGTTCGTCTTGAAGAACTCGCTGGGCGGCAGGCTGCA